TGGGGGTGGTGGGGCTGGGGCTCCCTCCCCAGGGATGATCTGGAGACAGCTGCCCTCCAGGCCTCCAGCCCCCTCCTCCTCATCGCCCTCATCTTCCTCTCCAGGACACTGGCCTGAGACTGTCTGCAGTTGCACGGCAGATCCTCCTGCCCGGCTGGCCCGACCCAGTGAGTATTTCCGTCGGCGCCCTCGTCTGCCTTCCCGCAGACAGGCCACATAGAGGAGGGAGGAGGCCAGGATGAGACAGAGGCCACCAAGTGCGGCAATGGCTAGCACATAGAGCAGTCTGACATCAGGTGCCAGCTGTGCCCCAGGTGTGTCAGGGGCTTTCGGAGCTGGGGCAGGAGTGGCTGGCCGGACCACGAGGCTATAGGAGGCCAGCAGGGTGCGGAGGCCATTTTCCTCAGCATAGCAGCCATAGTTGCCACTGTGCTCAGGCTGTGCATCTGTCACCAGCAGCCCATCCACGCCCACACGGTAGCCACCCTGTCCATCGCTCAGGCCCATGCTTCCATTGAGTAGCCACAAGGCCCGGGCCAGGTTGGATGGCTGGTCACAGGGCAGGAGGACATCATCACCCCGGAGCACAGAGCGGGTCTTCAGTGGTGGTGGTGGCCCTGTGGGGGTTGGGGGAGAGGTCAGTACCAGCCCATCTCAGGAAGGGAATGGGGATGGCAAGCCAGACTGTTGACTGCCAAGTCCCTGGCACCAAGCACAGAACCCGGAATCACTGTGACAGCTGACCCAGGCTCTGTGCTCATGCTTCCACATAAGGTTCACGTTGGCCCTTCCCAGGAAGCAGCCAGTGCCCTTTTCCATTCTCTCTCCATTCTCTCATCCTGTCCTGTAGTTTCAATTTCTGCCAGCTGCCAGTAACTCCTAGTCTCTCCCTCAGACTTCTCTCCTGAGTGCCAGACTTGGATATCTACCATGTGCTGGGCATCTCCATATGCGGTCTCTTGGACACTTCAAAGGCCAGAGCTTTTCTCCCAAACTACGCCAGGTCCTTTCCTTGAATTGCCACCACTATGAATGGCACCACCAGCCATACAGTTGCTTAAGTCAGAAACCTGGGAGTCTCCCTCCTCTTCTTGTTCACCTTTTTTTGTTTGTTTTGTTTTTTTGAGATGGAGTCTCATTCTGTCACCCAGGCTGGAGTACAGTGACGTGATCTCAGCTCACTGCAACCTCCGCCTCCCCGGTTCATGAAATTCTCTTGCCTCAGGCTCCTGAGTAGCTGGGATTACAGGCATGTGCTGCCATGCCTGGCTAGTTTTTGTATTTTTAGTAGAGACACGGTTTCACCATGTTGGCCAGGCTGGTCTTGAACTCCCAACCTCAAGTGATCCAACTGCCTTGGCCTCCCAAAGTGCTGGGATTATAGGCATGAGCCACTGTGCCCGGCCCTTCTTCACGTTTGTATCTAACTCTCACGAAGATTTGGTTTCTGGCATCTATCTTAGACCTGTTGATCTCTCTCCTTCCATGACTTCTGGCCCACTCTGGCCCCATGTAATCCATTCTCCAAGAGAGGTATTTTAAAAACACAAATCTGATCTTGCCACTTTCCGGCCTAAAACTCTTCAGAGATTTCCTGTTGCTTTTCGGATAAAGACCAAAATCTTCAACATGGTCTTTGCCCACTTGTCCAGCCCATTCTCCTGTCACTCAAATGTGCCAGCCTCCCTCTGCCTGCTGCTCCCTCTGCTTGCATGTCACCCCATTACCCCATGTCGTCTGCTTGCCTGGCTAACTTGTGGGAGATAGCATAATATAGTATAGTGACCAGAAGCACAAAGTCAAGTCAGACTGCTTAGGGTCAGGTTTGAATTCTTTCTTCCTTCCATTCCTTCCTTTCCTTCCTTGCTTTCTGTCTTTCTCTCTCTCTCTTTCTTTCTTTCATGAGGTCTCACTCTGTTACCCAGGCTGGAGTGCAATGGTGTGATCTTGGCTCACTGCAACCTCCACCTCCCAGGCTCAAGTGATCTTCCCACCTCAGCTTTCCAAGTAGCTGGGACTACAGACATGTGCCACCACACCTGGCTAATTTTTGTATTTTTTGTAGAGATGGGGTTTTGCCATGTTGCCCAGGCTGGTCTCCAATTCCTGAGCTCAAGCAATCCACCTACCTTGGCCTCCCAGAGTGCTGGGATTACAGGCGTGAGCCACTGTACTCAGCCAGGTTTGAATTCTGGTCCAGTTTCTTAATAGCTGAATAAGTTTGAGCAATTTACTTACACTCCCTGGGCCTCAGAGAGGTCCCTCATGGGGACGATAATAATGGCACCTTTCTCATAAGAATGCTGTGAGAATAAATGACATCATGCATAGAAGAATTTAGATCAGTGCCTGGCACACAGTAAATACTTAATACATCTTAGCTATGATGATTAACTTTTGTTCTTTCTTCAGATATCAGCTCAGTCATCTGATCTCCCTTGGGGAAATACCCATTACGTTCCTGAACCCTTGTCATCTGCTACTTGTCTATAAGCTCTAGAAGTGACAACACGCTTCACATCTTGAATGTGTTTCCTAGTTTATAATTCATTTGGGCAGTAAATGTTTGTTGAGCACTTACTCTGTGCCAGGCTCTGCATTTGAGTCATCCTTACCAAATGCACACAGCCAAAGCCACTCAGATACAAACGTGTACGACATAGCAGTAAATGGCAAAGAGGAGAGGCTGTGCAGCTAGACCCACACTCATATGAGTCACTTACCTGTATCCCTGCTGCTCTCACAGCCTCGATTTCCTCTCTCTATGTCCTGTATCAGTGCTGTCCTGGGACAGAAGATCAGGTTTTATGAACAAGGGGAACTGGGTTTCAGTTTCCCGGTGACAGGGTAGATAGGTCTGTTACCAATAACTAGCCCCTGCACTCCCCCAGGACTTCCTCCTCCACTCAGGCCACATGTGACTCTCACCCCCCACCACTTCCCACCTGCTTCCCTGGGACCTGTTGGCTATGGTGGTGGCTGCCCTGCAGGCATGGGTGCCGGGGTCCCAGCCACAGTAGGGGTCTCGGGCCAAGATGCAGTCATAGCAGGATCGGTAGCGGGAGCAGCTGGAGAGTGGTAGCTGGATGACTCCGCTAGGAGCCCCCACATAGAGGCTGTGCTGGGAGCCAGATAGGACAGTTGGTCAGCAATGCCCCCACTCAAACTTACAGATACACAGCCTCTGCCCAACCTCCCCACTCCCTCCTCCTATTTCAGCAAGCCTATATTAAGGGTCACAGAGAAGGGTTACCTGCATTAGAGAGATGACTAGATTTTCCACAGACTGGGGCTCCCTGAACACTTGTGTCTCTTCAATAATGTGCATCCCAGAGCCCAGGACTACGGCCTTGTGGATCCAGCCATCAGCTGGCATGGAAAGAGCAGAGAGTCAGACCCCAACTATGGGATCTGCTCTCAGCACCCTGCAAGAGGCCTAATAGGAACAGCTCAGGAGTCATGAGGTCCAGAGGTCCAGAACAAGGACTCAGCCAGGAGCAGTGGACCCTCAGGACATTGGGAACTCCAGATTAGTCATGGCAGGAATTAATGGATTCAGAAGCATTAGTGATCAGGGCCAACAGGGATCAGGGATTGGGATCAGAAGCACCTGTGCCCAGAAAGAGCAGGTCATAGGTGGGTCCAGCAGGCGTGGTGACAGGTGTCCCTGTAAGGTGTGTGTAGCGTACATTGCGCTTGAGCAGCAGGGGCCGTCCACGTGTGGGCACAACAGGCCGAGCCATCAGTGGGTGCAACTTTACAAAGTCCAGGACCAGGGATGGCAAGTCTTGGGATGAATTGTAGCCTTGGCTGCGCAACGAATCTGTGATACACTGGGGTAGGGAACAAAGGTGGTGAACCTCGGGACTCCACCACCTGCCTGCCCTCTCCACAAGGCCAGACTCACTGACCCTTCCCTGGGCTCTGTCTGCTCAGCACTGGTCCCAGGCCTGGGCACTCACCGAGCCAGGCCGGGGCTCAGGCACCCCACCCTCATAGCGACCCCAGCGCCGGGAACCATCCTGGTATTCCATATAGGGTCCTGCAAAGACAGCCTGGATCTCTGCCAGGTCATAGCGGCAGATGGCTGAGGCCTCCAGGGTCTTCCTAGGAATGGGACATAGGGCAAGGGGGGCGAGTTACACAGAGTCAAGCCTGCCCCCCAACCCATGCTCAGCCTGAAGCTCACTGTTACCCTGGCCAACCCCAGCTATAGTCCCACAGGGCCTCTCCTGTGAGTCAGTGGACCACTGCATTCATTCTTTGGCTCTATGTGCTTGATGTGCTTAAAATTCTTGATTCTCTAGCTTGATGTGCTTAAAATTCTCACTTTGCCAGCACTTTGAGAGGCCGAGGCCAGTGGATCACGAGGTCAAGAGATCAAGACCATCCTGGGCAACGTGGTGAAACCCCGTCTCTACTAAAAATGCAAAAATTAGCCAGGCATGGTGGCATGTGCCTGTAGTCCCAGCTACTCGGGAGGCTGAGGCAGGAGAATCACTTGAACCCAGGAGGTGGAGATTGCAGTGAGCCGAGATCGCGCCACTGCACTCTAGCCTGGCAACAGAGCGAGATTCCCTCTTAAAAAAAAAAAAAAAAATCTCACTTTGCAGCCAGACCTCCCCACAGTGGATCCTATCTCATCTTCACTGACCTCTGCTCCAGCCCCTATGCTGTCCCCAGTTCCTTGCCTCCCCATTGTCCCTGCACTGACCACTGTGTGCTCAGCGTGAAGGCTGCATAGAAGTGTGTACGGCTTGAGGTTTCAGCATCCAGGCTGCAGACCCCACGCAGTGTCTCATACAGTGGAATGTGGCAGATGAGACGGGCTTTCAGGAAGGATGTCCACTTCTTCTGCAGGATCTTCTTCCCTCCCAGGTCTCCCTGGGGAGGTGGGGGTACGGGTTAAGGGGCCAGGGTCAGAGGTGCAACCTCTATACCCGTGCCCCAACATCAGCCCTATCCACCTTGCAGACACGAGCGACACGGGCCACACGGTGACTGCTGCGGCTCTGAGTGAAGCTGCCAGAGCCCTCCTCAGTGGCACGCTCCGTGAAGAAGTAGTATACCTTGTCGTCGTCACCCACTGCACTGGCCTTGCTCTCCCGCACGAGGACGGAGAACACAAACTCAGCATCTGTGGGTCAGGCAGTTTGAGAGGCTTTTGAGACAGGCTGGGGACCCCTTTCCCCTACTCTGAGGCCTACCCCTCACTTGACAACACACAGGAATGGAATGGGCAGGCTCACCTGGGGATTTGGGGGTGGGGTGGTCAGCTGGCCAAGGGAGTAAAAATGAAGAAATAGTCCCCTACCCCCCATCATCCTGTGCCTCATCCTCCTAACCATTGAGCCAATGCATTGGTGTCTCCTCAGTTCTCAGGGAGTGTGGGTGGCGGCTCCGACGGATGTCGGGAATGCTCCGGAATTCATACCGAGTGGCTGTGTAGAGGCCTCCATCTGGCATGGGGACATTCCAGGCATGAGAGACATGTCATGTACAACAGGGCACATGACATATACATGGTGGCAGGTCCTAGAGATGAGATCCACATCTTAAAAACATCATGCTTGTGATAGGGAAGAGGGCCTGCTCACCAATGATGAGGCCTGTGAAGCCACGGGCTGGGTCGTAAGGACACTTCTCCTTCCCCTCCTCAAAGCTGGTTGGCAAGGTGAAGGCCTCAGCATCCTAGGGAACAAGGGACCAGCAGTAACTGGTTCAGAGGACAGGTAGGGACAGTGGCTCCAAGTCAGATCAGTCTGGGGTCAGGGATCAGCAATCAGGGCTAGGGGCAGGTTGTATGGCAGATGCACCTGACAGCAATAACTTAAGCATCCCCTGAGAATGACCTTATGGCCTAAAAACAATGTATGTTTGGAGTTCCAAATCTGCGAGTGGGCAACCCAGAGTTTCACTCCTTATCTATGAAGAACACATGAGCCCCTAGCCCATCCTGTGGAACACATGCCATCCAGGGGATCAAGTCCCTTTGTTTGGGGTTAAATGAAGTTTGCCAGGTGGAGGTGATTAGGGGGAGGCTGCTAAGTGAAAATGCTATATAAACTGCATGCTTTTTACAAAGGGGAGTGGTTCTCCAGTGCAGCCCGCCACCACAGGACTGCCCTGTATGGAAGTCCCCTTAATAAACCATCCGTCTCCTTCACTGGCTCTGAGTCTCTTCTTTGGCATCTCGAACATGATCCCATCCCTAATGAAGCCAACAGAGATCTAGCACAACACAGGTATACTCACAATTGCTGCACAGAGGGGCTGGAAGGCGTGAGTCCCACACGCATAGAGGTGGGTGGAATTGAGCCGCTGCAGGAACCGCACATGGTTAAAGCACTCTGTCTGTGGGATGAGGTGGAGAGGGCTGTGAGCCCCCTGCCTGACTAGAGGCCTCCTCCATTAGTCTAGCTTTGTAGTTTGGCCTTTGTCCCTACCCACAGGACAAATGGTTCTTTCCAAGATACCTGTGATCCTTCTCACTGCTCCAGAATATTTCCTGGAACTCACTCTCCTTGGCCTCCCAGTAACATGACACTATTTCTCTCCTCTGTCCCTCAGATTATCTGACACCACTTTGCCAATATCTCCTGTGTCTCTTGCAGTTCCCTCCACCCCTGGTTCAAGAGCTGCCAGGGATTCCACCATCCTGAGGTGCTTCTCCTCTCCCATTCAGCTCCTTCTCAGCAACTCTTTCTATTCTTGGAACTCCTGCCCTCCCCACTGGGGTGATACAACCAAATCTCTCCCTAGATGCCAGCTCGCTCTCCACCTGATATCCCAGGGATGCTTTAAACTCAGCTTGTCAGAAGCCAAGTTCATCCCCTCCTCCATAACCTACATCTTTCCTAAACCTGTTTATCCAGTCTTTCCCACCTCACTTCATCCATCCTACGACTCAACTTAGAAGCCAGGAATCATCCTTGCTGCTTCCCACTTTCTCACCCCCACATTCAGTCCCTCTCCACAATTAATTCATTGTCCTAAATGTCTCTTGACTTGGTCCACTTTGACTCCACCAACAGCACCCAGTCCAAATGACCACCATGACCTCTTCCTTAGACATCTGCAGTTGTTACCTGATAGCTCCTCCCAACCTTCTCTTTCATAAAAATGACTTTTATAACAGCTATTTATTCAGTCAACGATGAATACATGTACATAGTATAAAACTCAGAAAGTACAAAGGGGTATGTTATAAACAAGGAGTCTCCCATTTATCCCTGTCTCCTAGGTTGCCTGCAAAGAAGACTGCTGTTACTATCGTCTGAAGTTTCCTTCCAGAGATATTTTACCAAACAACACACTTTTGCTACTCTCCAACCACTTTCCAAGGGATATTCTAAAAATGTAAACCTAGTCAGGTGTGGTAGCTCACACCTGTAATCCCAGCACTTTGGGAGACTGAGGTGGGAGGATCACTGGAGCCCAGGAGTCCAAGACCAGCCTGGACAACATAGCAAGACCTCATCTCTATGTGGTGGCATGCACCTGTAGTCCTAGCTACTTGGGAGGCTTAGGCAAGAAAATTGTTTGAGCCCAGGAGGTCGAGGCTGCAGTGAACCACTGCACTCTAACCTGGACAACAGAGTGAGACCATGTCTGAAAAAAAAAAAGTCAAGTGGATCACACCACTGTATCGGCTCATTGGTGACCTGAACATAGAGTCCCACATGCTCCTAGCCCTGTGTGATGGGACTCTGCCCCTTCCTCTGGCCTCACTTACCCCACTCCAGTCACACTGGTCTTCTCTGCCTGTCAAATGCCCTCAGCTGCCAGTCTCTTGACTCCTTTGCCATGTTAATGATTCCTCCTCTTGCCTGTTACCCAGGGTTTAAATCCATACAGGCCTCTTTTGTCTCTTCCTGCTCCCTCACCTGGTATAAGCCACTGGCATCTGTCCCTCCTCTCCATAAGCCTGCTCAGGTCCCTTCCTCTGACCCAAATGATGCCCCAGCCTCCTCACTGCTTTTCCTGCCTCCAGACTCACCCTATTTTCATCCATCCAGTACCTGGGGCCAGAAAAAATATTCCTATAGTGATGTTTCCCCAAGATGTTTGTTTATTTTTTTTTTGAGATGGAGTCTCGCCCTGCCACTAGGCTGGAGTGGAGTGCGTGATCTCAGCTCACTGCAACCTCCGCCTCCTGGGTTTAAGAGATTCTCCTGTTTCAGTCTCCCGAGTAGCTGGAACTACAGGTGTGTGTCACCACGCCCAGCTGATTTTTGTATTTTTAGTAGAGACAGGGTTTCACATGTTGGCCGGACTGGTCTCGATCTCTTGACCTCGTAATCCACCCGCCTCGGCCTCCCAAAGTGCTGGGATTATAGGCCTGAGCCACCACGCCCAGCGGATGTTTACATTTTTTTAAAGGGGGGTAGGGAGGTATTCTCTGCTCAAATAACTTTAGAAACCACAGGTGAAACCTATCTTTACTGGGGTTACTTCCTAGAGCCTGAAGGATGTTGCTGTGCATTGTGGGACTGGACATGCAGTGTTTCCCAAACTCATTTGACATTTAAACCCCTCCTTTGAAAATTAGTGTTCCTCAGAACATGCTTTGGGAACTGTTCTATAAAGCCTTGCTATCCAAAGTGTGGTCTGGGGACCAGCAGCATCAACTTCACTTGGGAGCTTGTTAGAATTGCAGACTTGGGCCCTTCCCCAGACCTACTGAGTTTGGCACCTGCATTTATAATATATTTGGGTGATACATTAAAGTAGGAGCCTCTAAAATATCAAATTGTGAGGGTGTTCACTGTCACAGAATAAAACCCAAACTCCCAGCTGGGCATCTGTGGCCTTCCATGACCTGGTTCCACCTGCCTCCCCAGCCCTGTTTTCTACTCGTGCTGCACCAAGAGGCAGTCTTCGATGGAAGCTCTTGGAGATGCCTTTTTAAATGCAGCTGTCCCAACACCACCCCCGGCCCACCTTGGCCCAGTGGACCTTGGGAATGTTTTTTTGTTTTTATTTTTAAATTAGAGATAGAGTCTCATTATATTGCCCAGGCTGGCCTCGAACTCCTGGGGTCAAGTGATCCTCCTGCCTTGGCCTCCCAAAGTGTTGAGATTACAAGTGTGACCCACCATGCCCAGCCCAGGGTTGTTTATTTTGTAAAAGCTCTCCAGATACAGCCATTACATAGCCAGACATGGGACCCTTGGAGACACCCTATTCTTTAGCTGGAAAGGGCTGACGCTTCATTAATGCCTCTCCATGGAATACTGGGTATTTGAACTATTCCTTGACCAAAGCCTCATTTTTCTCATCTGTGAAATGTAGGATAATACCATTTCATAGGGTTATTTTAGAATTAACTGAGATAATAGCTAAATCAGCACTTACTATAGATGGTCCCTGACTTAACAATGGTTCAATTTATTATGATGGCTTTAATGGGAAGTAACCCCATCCTAAGTAAGCATCTGTAGAGGTTACTTACTGTTTTTTGTTGGTCTGTTTTTTTGAGACAGGGTTTTGCTTTGTCGTCCAGGCTGGAATGTAGTGGCTTAATTATAGCTCATGTAGCCTCAACCTCCCAGGCCCAAGTGATACTCCCACTCAGCCTCCCAAGTAGCTGGGACTACAGGTGCATGCCAGCATACTTGGCTAATTTTTTTTTTTTTTTTTTGTATATTTTTTGACACAACAGGTCTCGCTGTGTTGCCAGGGCTGGTCTCGAACTCCTGGACTCAAGCTGTTCTCCCACCCTCAGCCTCCCTGAGTTGTTGGGATTACAGATGTGAGCCACCGCATCCAGCCTACTTATTGTTATCATGATTATTTGGGATCCCAGAGGAGATGAAAATGCCATTGCAGGACAAGCTAGTAGGCCACCAGATGTTTGAATTAGAAGTACTGTGCCCAGATGCCAGGTGCAATGGCTTACATCTGTAATCCCAGCACTTTGGGAGGCCAAGGTAGGAGGACTGCTTGAGGCCAGGAGTTCAAGACCAGCCTGGGCAACATAGCAAGACCCTGTCTCTACAAAAAATAAAATACTTAGCTCGGCGTGGCATATGCCCGTGGTCCTAGCTACTCAGGAGGCTGAAGTGGAAGGATCCCCCGAGCCCAGGAGTTTAAGGCCACAGTGAACTATGATTATGTCACTGTACTCCAACCTGGACGACAGAGTGAGACCCAACCTCAAAAACAGAAAAAAAAAAAAATGCTGTGCCCATGGCTTGCCACTCTGGCAATACTTACAATGTTTACTGTGGTTGCTGAGATTTACTGGCAGGTCTGTACCTACTCATCTGTGTCCCCAACAACCCTGGCATCCCTGATTGAGGAAGAAGAGGAGGAAAGGAGCTGGGGACAGGGCAGACCACATACCTGGTTGTTTTTCCCTTTTTGATGACATTTGCTTTGCATCTCTGGGGAGGCTTCCCAGTGGATCTAGTGGGGGCAAAGGGAATAGGCTGATGCATTGACCCCAATACCTATTACTCATAGGACCAGGCAATAGGACCCCACGGAGCTGGGGAAATTGGGGTGAGGATCAATTTCAGAAGGAACATTGAATGCAAGGGACACCTGGGCTGGGAAGGGCAGTGCTGTCTGATCAGGGGACTATGGAAGGCTTGGCAGGGTTTTCAGGAAGTTGAGGTCCCAGGGAGCTGGATGAGGATGGAGACCCTCTGGGTGGTCCAGGTTCCAGGGCCTGACCTCTTTGTGAGCCCCATCTCCTATGTCGTTGGCACTGAGAGAGAACAGGGCACCTCGGGCTCCCACCAGCAGCCTTGCTGAGGCCTCCTCCAGGAGCAGTGTTGAGTAGTTCTGGGCTTGGCCCTCGAAGTGCCGGGTCCCAGAGAGCTCTGGGGAGAGCAGGTACAGTGAGTCTAGTTCTGGGGTGCCTTCCCACCCCCAGCCCTGGCTCCTGCTGCCTTTTGAGGTTGAGGGTCTAACCTTCATAGGGTATGGTCATCCGAGGGGTGGCATCTAGTTCTCTAGATGGTCTCCGCAGTGAGGGTCCTGGGACTGCAGTTGCTGTGAGAATGCTCAGGAGGAGGGGCCACAGCCTCCCCCACATCTTCCTGGGGAGGCCCAGACTAACAAGACCCCCAAAGGGAGCCAGAGTCACAGGTTGTAGGGGCAGGGATTGGGAAGCACAGTCACAGAGGTCAAAGTCCAAGGAAGTCACTTGGAAGGTCAGGGGTCATAAGCTCATGGGAGTCAAGGAATCATGGGGCCATGGGGGGTCCTGGAATCGGGGGGACATGGAGTCACAGGGTTGTGTGGCCATGGAATCCCAGCTAAGAGGTCAGAAGGAGGGAGGGATCACATGCCTTTCTGCATCAAATGCAAACTCCATGGTGAGAGGGAGTTGTGAAGTTCTAGAGGGGTTGTAGGTTACTGATGGGGTCACCCTGCCCCCGACAGTAGAGCTAGTCCTGGTTTTCTGAGGTCCGTTTTCTGAAGAAAAAACAGGGAAAAAAAAAAGCTCTTTGATCTGTATGTGGGTGGAAGATGGATGGCGTTACCCAGACTTCAGGGGGCACTGAAGGAAGGAGGCCCAGCATCCACAGAACGCCCACGACAGGATCAACTCACAATCATTCTGTCTATCCCTTTGCTCTGATGCTGGAGGCTGGGGTGGAACTTACCTTCCTTACAAGACCCTAGACACCCACAACCCGAACCCAAGGTCATGACCCTCTTCTGGCCAAGTCAGAAGCTCCGCTAGGCCCTCAAGTCAAAGGAGCTGGGGTTCTCTGAGAGAATGCCTGCTTCTCTCAACAATGAGATGCAACTCGGTCAGCAGCTGCCCCTGCTGCCTGCGGGGGTGCCTTATGCAGGAAGGCCTGACCAGAGAGGTTTAATGGGCCTTTGTTTATTTTGTCCTGCTTTCCCTTTGTTTTTTCTTTTCCCTGGCCTGAGAGCTCCCTCTGGAATTTCTCTTTAATTATAACTTCTCCTTGGTATTCCTCTCTAAGGGGGTACACATCTCTGCCCATGCCAGTCTGTACTGCACCCTCTGGCTAGGCATCCACATGTGTCCCTACCTGCAGGTAGGCATTCACAGGCATTGGGGTGGGTACCTAGGGTCCCCCTGGTTGCACAGGTGTAATGTCTGTGCAGGAGGCTGTAGTGTGCATGGCCAGTTGAGACATAAGCAATGTGAAGAAGGTAAATGATGGGATCCCTGAGCCCTTGGACCCTCCCTCAAGCCAACCAGCTGGGGAGGGAATGGGGGTGGGTGGTGGGCATCTCCCAACCCCTGTAACAGGCCTCCTAATCACCAAGGGTTTCCTTGAAGAGTTCCTCGGCTGGGTGAGGTGTGGAGAGACCTAACCCATTCCATCTCATCTGTCACCCACAGGCAGGGCCAGAGGGTGCCACTGGTGCCTCCTCTCCCAGGTCAAATATTAACTATCTGGCCTTGGAAAGAGGGGAGGAATCAGGAACTGGCCAGAGGGATAACAGGAGCATTTATTCAAGAGGTAAAGGTCAGCACTGCAGGGGCAGAGCCCTGAGGGGGAGAGTCGACTATGAAAGGGAGAGAAGAGGATTCCCTGATCCTGAAAGGGTATAGGCTCCCTGTTTGGGAGCTGGGACAGCAGGAAGCTTCAGGCAAGCTGGCCATGCCCCACCCCTCCCTGTGGAGGCACACCTGTTTACCTTTGGGACCTCCTATTTGCTCAGTGCAAAAGGCATGTGTGTGGGGAGCATTATGGCTAGGAGGAACATGCCCCAGGTTAGAGGAGCCACTCAGTGTGGTGCATGTCACACTTACAGTTTAAGAGTCACATGGGTGACTCTTAGGAAGATGATGTACACGCACATGGATGCACACACACACACATACACATTCACAAGGAGGACTGTGAACACATGGATTCACAGGGGTCACTCACACATACACTCACAGGGAGGTTTGTGCACACATATGCTCACACAGAGGGCCACAGCCACAGGTAATCATACATATTCACATGTGAAGTTGAATTTACATGCCCATCCATTCAGCAGGTCACACAGCCTCAGAGGTTGAGGAAAGATAAACCCACACATATGGGTTTCTGTCAAGGGCTGTGCACCTCTATTCAACAGGAGGGTCCTATCCATATACATGTATGTGTGGGGACATGCACACAAACCCATTGATGTAGTGGGCCAGGCAATCATGTTCACAGAAGGGTCAAGTACATGTGTGTTCACACAGAGTCCTTGAACACACAACTACATCCATGCAGAGAGAAGCACACATGCATACAGGGGTCCAGTTTTCACCACAGGCTTGGGGGCTGCTAGTGTCCACTGGGGTGAGATGCAGAGCAGAACCCTGCCTGCGTTCCTGAAAGTCCCAATTCTAAGGCCCAATTTCAGGTGTGTGTGTGTGTGTGTGTGTGTGTGGGCGAGGGGGGTGATGGCGGAGGCTTCTGACCTTGGATGGTCAGATGGGATGGGTGCATGAGTCAAGGCCGCTCTACAAGGGAGGGAATGGGAAACTAACCCAGGCAGGAGGAGGCCTCTAGCTTTAGCAAAGGAAAGATGGAATGGAACGCATAACTTAGTACTCCTCCACCCCGATGTATATTGCAGTTCTAGAGGTAGGAGACGGGCTGGCGCTCTCAACCCCCACTTAACCTGTTGGGAGGGGGCGGGGCTAAGTGGGCGGGGCGGAGCATACCACCCCTCCCTTCAGTGGCGAAGCGGGTTTAAGGTCTCCTGTCCACGCCCCACACTCCACCCCAAGTTCCACAGTTCGAGTTCTTCCCCAGGGCCAGCCCCCTGAACTCTGATCACCTTCCCTCTATTAGATCCTAGGGTGGAGGGAATTGGGGAGGAGAGACCCTTAAAACAGGATCAATGAAGGATCAGCAGGCTTTCGACCTTCATCCCAGATGTCCACCTGCCTCGTGTAGGCAGTATCTCCCTCTGCCTAGTAGGATGGTGGTCTCTCCTGGCTTGAGAGAGCCCCTCCCCCCGTACCCCCTCCCTACAACATCCTGGACAGTCCGCGGTTCTCTCCCTTCGTCAGGTCTAACCTCAGTCTCTACTGCTGCAGCTCGAGGACAAGCTCTCCTTCGATCCCGCCGGACGCCGGGAGACGTGACCCAGATCCTGGGGAACACTGTTCACCACACGGACCCCTCCCCATGCTGGTCCCCGACTCCGTGATGGCCGGTCTGCACCCTGCGCAGCCCGAGGCCTGGCCCGCGCCCCTCTAGAGCCTTCATGCAGAATCGGGGGACTTGGCGATGAGAAAGGCCTGGCCCAGCTTGGAGGGTAGAATGGACGTGGGGGAGGCCTTGCCCGACCCCCGGCCCGAAGCCCCCGACTCAGGCCAGGCCGCCGCCCGCACTCCCCGCCTTGCTCACCTTTGCGCTGGGATCCAGGGCCATAGAGACAGCGACGCGCGGTTCCGCGGCCCCACAGCACCAGCTGCGAGAGGAAGGGGCCGCGGCTGGAGGCGGGGCGGGGGGTGGAGGCGGAGCCGGGGGTGGGGCGGGGTCCTGGAAGGCGGGGCCGACTGGGTGGGGTGAGGGGAAGGTCGCCGCTCTCTTCTTTGCGCCCCCTGCTCTAGCACAATAGAGGCGGTTTGAGAGCCAGGCTCACACACAGCCTTCGGCCATCGGGCGACCCCGCGCCTCTAGGCGCTACGGCCCTGATAATCGCCCCCTGGTGGTGGCCTCGCCACCCCGTGCACCCTCCACATGCTTATAGCCCGCCCTCTCCTCCCCTGTAACCCTAGGATCCCCCCGACTTGCCTACTGCTGGGGACGTGCAAACCTGCCCTGGCGTTGAGGGGTTGGGGGACCCTCTCGGAGGGCCTTCTGGCCTGTCCTCTAACCTGGACCTCACTCCCTGCGGTCCTGCCACTCGCTTCTGCTCTAGGATGTGGACGGAAGGCTACCCTAGGTGGAGACTGGAGGTTGGGGAAGCTCTGAACACAAGGAAGGGGCTTGATTCCCAGCTTCAGGGGCTGTTCAGCTTGAGCTATGCGTGGGGGAGATGGGGTCAGGCCTGAAGGGGATGAAGTAACAGCTTGACCTGAAAGGCACACAGAAAATGCTTTTTCTGGATAAACAAGCCACAAGCATTTGCACCTGTTCACTCACCAAATCTTAACCCTAACCTAGGCTCACCTCAGGGACTGGGTCATTCAAACACTTGCCTTCCCCTCCAGCTCATCTTGGGCCCCATTCTTATCCAGAACTTAGAGTGCATCCTTCTAGGCAATCAAATACCCTGTCCTTCCCAGATTCAATCACCTTACCCAGCAGCAATCTAGGAAACCCCTCACAATCAACTCCCCAACTCCTTTAACTCAATTAGGATGGTCCTTCTGTGCAAACTTGGGTCCTGCCTCCTTTAACAGGTCACAGCCTATTAAAGTGAACTTAGCCCCTATAGTCCAAACAAAACCTGCATTCAGGCCCTGACCCAGCCTGGTCCTTCCTCCTCCATCCATAACAGTATTCATGTGGGCTCAAGAGATGGACCAAAATGATAAAGTCCACAGGAACATATGTGATTGACTCTTGCACATGCCTAGGAGTCAGAACAGGATTCAAGTGGCACATTTAACCAAAGGAACCTTGGGAAAGACACTTCATCCTTCTTTCTGGATTCCCCAAAGCTCACAGTTTGGCACTGAATCATATACAATCTCGTAGTTTGGATGGCTGTGTGTGACTGCAGACTGCTAGACAGCAGGGCCCACATCACAGTTCCACCTCCCCCAACACTCTGCAAATAGGATATGTGTGGCGGGGAGAGGGAAGGTAGCTGGGGAGAAACACAATAAAAAATGTACACATGCTTTTACAAAGAATATCCTGCTTCATTTTTTATTTGTACCCTCATCCCATCCTGAGGAATTTATAGCCCCATTTTATGGATAGGGAAACAGGCTCTAAGACATTAAGTAACTTGTCTTGAAATTCATTCTTGTGTTTACAGACAGGACAATCAAGACTGGAAAAGTCTGAGAAGGAGGAAGCAGGGTAAGCCTGAAGGGGAAATACCATTGGCAAAGGTAGAAATGTTCAAGCTTATGCACAGGCTTGTGCTGAGGCACTAGGGAAGAGGCATGAAAGAGGGCAGTTTGATTTGATGAAATTGCAGTGGGTAGGGGGATTCCTAGTGGGAAATAAAAGGGAATAGTCAGCTAGTAGTTTGAAAAAGACCACAGAAGAAAATCCTGAGATGATAGACTGAGTAAGGAAGTCTGAGCTGGGAAGACCAGTTAAGGCAGGGCTAAGATAAATCTGCAGTCCTTATTAGAAAGTGGATTGGTGGTAACAGTGGAGGCAGGGTAGGAAGACTGCTGGTCCCTCAGTACCAGATAGGAGAGCAATTCAACTGTAGGGGCCCAGAAGGCTAAGAGGCACAGCTTCCTAAATGTTCACAGAACCTGCAGTGCTGACTTCAGATACCTCTGGAGGTGGCAAGTAGGCCAATGCGGCAGGCTCAGTAACTCACTCAACTTTATGAGCCAAGCTTTGCTCCTCTGAGGTGCTGATGGCAAAGTCAGATATTGTTAAATGAGTAAAATGTGTGTGATTTCAACTATCACTGGACAGTTACTTCAGTACTTTTGATACTAGACCACAATCCATTTCCTTCTGCTATCCTCCCAGTGAAATCTCTAAACCTAATGAGAGTATCAGAGTAAAGGCAATTCATGGAGCTGTCTATAGGAAGCCCTTTTGATTGATAGTACATCTCTCTGCAAATCCAGCTGATAAAACAAGAACGGGGGAATACTGACAGACAGTGGAAAATAAAACTGGAAATCAAATAAAGAAATTAATCCTAACCCAGCCATAAATCTGCATCCTGGGACACAGGCAGGTCATTCTTTGAACAGACTGTCACTCATCCATAAGGTCACTACCCTGGCTGCTTCACAGGGTGGCTGTGAGAGGATTCCATTTGGAAACCTTCTGGAGAACTTCAGACACACAGAAAAGTATAAGTTTTGTTTTTGCTATTCTATTTTCCCCAACTTTGCTGTAAGAAAGTGGCTGAGAGTAGTGCTGGCCGTCTTCAGCACTTTGCACAGAATAGTTACTCACTGTAGCAGGGATCCTAGGTGAAGGGGGTGGGTATGAATTCCTGAAACTTGAGCAGGTTCCCTGAAGCAAGAGAACTCTGGCCTAGTCAAGCTGTCCTGCTTCCTGTTCAATGTGGCAGCATTTCTGTTCCTGCTTTGCCATCTCCATCTCTGGTTTGCCCAGCACTTTCCCTTTAGGTGGTGTGATCTTTATTTTGGCCATATATACAGCTGAGGAGCTTCTTCTGTAGGGGATGTCACCAGTGCAGCAATGCAGAAGTCTCACTATTCCACTGTGCCTCAGAAGCCTGTTTTGCCTGTTAAGTTTTCCTCCCAGCCAGTTGTCTTGGAGTCAGACCCAAAGCTGGGCCTTCTGGTTTGCCCTCTCTTGACTCCAGCCTAGGGAATGGTTAGCAAGGGAAAGGGAGTGTGAGGACATTTCCACAAATGCTGGAAAACCACCACCTATCACCAATTTCTCACCTTTAGCATGCTGGCTTTTAAAAAGTGAAAATTTTAATTAAAAAAAAAAAATCAGCAGGGATAGCTGGACAGAGAAGCCTCTGGAGCTCCCGGTATCCAAAGGAATAGGGCACACTTACAACTATAATTTTTGGAGATATGGTTTGCTCAGATGTCAGTACACCCTGAGGTGTCTGCTTAAGATCAATTCTGTCATCAGATAAAAGCCTTGTTAGAGCAGCAAGCATTTGCTGAGTTCTTGCTATATGCCAGTCACGGTACTAGGCACTTTTCATGCATTAGCTCACTTAGTCCTCACAAACCCTGAAATAGACACCGTTATTATTCCTTTTAACAGATGAGGAAACAGTGAGTTTAAGTAATCTGGCAAAGATTAAAAGGCTAGTGTGATGAATCTGGGATCTGAGGTCAGGCCTTGGGCAAGGTCAAGGCCCTCAACTTGTATAAGGTTGTGCTGCCCGCTCTCTAGTAAGTACTTACGGCAACGTCTCTGCTTCTGCCTGGGCTGTCATCCCTCGTCCCTCTGCCCCACCGTCAGAGAAAAATGCTCCCATTTAGTCTCTTTCTAACCAGCCTGTCAGAAGGGAGAAATACTGGCATGGTTTTGGAACTTAAGGCCTCTGATAATGCCTAGGCCTTCTATGAGCTCCAAAGTTTCTCCTATGAGGTTTCAACCTCTGCCTCCCAAGTTGGCATACCCAGAACTTATCTGCTTGGCAGGTTGGAGGTGATCTCAAGCCCTGCTTCTGGATTGTACAGCTTCTTCTTTCTTGGTCCTGGGCTCAAGAACAAGGGAGTCAGGTTAAGGGTATTCGTTTCTAATTCTCTTTGCCCAAGAACAGAAAGTATTTTAACCTGGATGCCAGGAGGTAAGATTCATGAGGGCTCTGTGTTGTTCACCACCAAATCCTTATTGAATCCTAAAGAGTGCCTAGCATGTAGTTGAGACTCAATTGTTAGAATGAATGGTGGAATGATAGCCGGGCATGGTGGCTCACGCCTGTAATCCCAGCACTTTGGGAGGCCGAGGCGGGCGGATCACGAGGTCAGGTGATAGAGACCATCCTGGCTAACATGGTGAAACCCCATCTCTACTAAAAATACAAAAAATTAGCCGGGCGTAGTGGCAGGAGCCTGTAGTCCCAGCTACTCGGCAAGCTGGGGCAGGAGAATGATGTGAACCCGGGAGGCGGAGCTTGCAGTGAGCCGAGATCGTGCCACTGCACTCCAGCCTGGGCGACAAGAATGAATGGTGGGATGAACATAGTGAATGAGGTAAGAATGAGATTACTGAATTCCTGATTGCAAAGTATACAGCAATTAACTGGGTTATATAAAAGTGAACTGTGTACAACGGTGGCTTTATGTTTTCCAGAAACCGGAGACATCAAGCTAAAAAACTGGACAATCCAAAGCAAGAAGAAATGTTTAAAAACCAGGGGACTGGGGTGGGGTGAGGGAACAGGGCATTCCAGATAACTTAGCCTCCTCAACTCCCAAACAAATATTACCAAACACATGTTCAAACTGAGAAAAAGCAGTTTTAATAGCACACACACACATATTCATAGGACTTTAACAAGATGTAGTATAAAATCTTTAAAAAAATAAAAGGAAAGAAAAAAAATCTGTATTTACTGCCTAAGAGCTGCTGGATTAACTGGCTGACAAGACTGTCCAGGGAAAACAAATGCACAGATAATGAGGTGAGCTGACACTGTTCATGAGTAAGGAATAACCACGGATCATGCTAATTGCTCTACGTGCCCAGCCGCCTGGACCCTACTGTTGCCTCCTTAGCGACAAACCACCACAGTCATCCCCTAATTCTCCAACTCAGTAGCTTGTTTAATGGGCTACCCCTTAAAATTTTCATTTTTAATTTAAAAATTACC